TTTTTTGTCTTCATTTCGTTGCTGTTGAGCATTAACTCCATTGCTTGCGATCTTACTATACTTTCTTTAACCGCATGACTGGACCGTGCCCTTCGGCCCTTCCTCACCAATTTTTATCCTTTTTTTCGTCATTTGGGAAGTGAAGAATTGCCAAAACCTTCTCACTCGTGCACAATCTTTCTCACTATTGCAAGCGGATCTCCTATTACTTCGAGTAGGATTTGCACATTTCATTGCAAACTAAACACTGCTCGCTGATTTCCTATTCCAGCTGATGTCCTTTTTTTCCGATCTTCGAGCAGAAGATTCACAAATTTAGGAGGAAGTCCCGCCTATTTTGATCAAGCCCCTCCCACCATTTGCAATTGGGTCCTCACCCCCTTCCAGCATTTGTCCATTTTTTCCCGATCTTTGAGCTGTGTCGAAAACGATTTACGAGTTCGGTGGAAAGGTCGGCCCATTTTGGCTAGACTCCGCCCAAAATTTGCATTTTTTCTCTTCTAGCATTTGCCTAATTTTTTCGATCTTTTGGCAAACGACCCACGAGTTTGGGAGATCCCATGTTATTTTGATCACGCTCCTCGGTGGAAAGATCGGCCCATTTTGGCTACACTCCGCCCAACACTTGCATTTCCGTCCTTTTCCACTTCAAGCATTTCTCGACTTTTGTCCTACTTTTGAGCAATCGATTCACATGGGAAAACACCGCCTCTTTTGATCACGCTCCTCCCACCATTTGCAATCATGTTAATTTCCTCTTCCGGCCTTTGCCAACTTGCTTCTGCATCTGACTGTTAAAAACTACTTGGGTTTCGTGGGAAACCTCTCCCATTTTTTGCTTTACTCCAACCTACCCATAATTTCTGAATAAGCTTGCGAGTGGTTTCCTAATTATTACACTGTCGACATGATGCACAATCTTATATTTTCCTCGGTCCCTAGGCTCTTCCAGAACCGAAATACGGATTTTCGAATCAAACACGTATCTCAGCGCGCTTTGCCGTAGGATATTATCCAATTTCGTGACAGAGAAACACATCGACAAAAGACTTGCAAGCAGGCAAAGAGACTGAATAAGTGGTTCTTGGTGGGGAGATTTGACTTCACTAATTGTTCGTAACTTATTTACATTTCAGAAAAGATGAGTGGAGGAGGAAGAAGTCGGTCAAGGTCGCGAAGTCCCCGTGCACATCAGCACCAGCCTGGACCCCTTCCAGAACAAAATTTAGAGGCAGAAGGCGATCGGCGACAAGCTGCCGAAGAACGAAGAGCACGGATTGCTGCAAGAGCTAGAGCACGAAGACAGCAGGAAAGCGATGAGCAGCGAAGAGCTCGCTTGGATAGTGTTGCTGGAAGGGTCAGAGCACGAAGACAGCAGGAAAGAGATGAGGAGCGAGAAGATCGTCGGCTCAGAGATCTGCTGAGAGCTAGAGCACGAGAGGACGCGAAAGCGAGGAGGAACGAGCTGATCGTCGCCTTAGAGATACCTCAGAGAGCTACAGCACGGAGAGGACGCGAAAGCGAGGAGGAGCGAGCTGATCGTCGCCTTAGAGATACTCAGAGAGCTACAGCACGGAGAGGACACGAAAGCGAGGAGGAGCGAGCAGATCGCCGGCGAGTGGATAGTCAAAGAGCTAGAGCACGGAGAGACCAGGAAAGCGATGAGCAGCGAAGAGCTCGCTTGGAAAGTGTTGCTGGAAGAGCCAGAGCACGACGAATGCAGAGAAGTCAGGAGCAGCATGAACGACGTATTGCCGCTACTTCACGAAGAGAACAGCTACTAGGAGCAAGCTCGTCAGAAGATGAAGTGGAGGAGAGGCGACGAATCGAATCACAGAGGCATCGTAAACGAGCAGGAAGGATCGGCTCTGGAACAAGAAGAGTAGCACGTTCAGATTTTGAACCCGAAGAGCATTACGATGGACCAATGAATGTGGGCTGTGGAAGTTGTGGTGCCAGACACTTCAGTTCGGAGTTAAGACCAGGCAGTGCCACTTTCAACGATTGTTGCAATCATGGATGCATAAGCTTAGAGCACTTCACCAACTTCCCTCTGCAGCTTCGCCAACTGCTCACGGGTCAAAACGCTGAAGCGAAGGAGTTTAGAGAGCACATCCGAAATTATAATAGTGCTTTCGCCTTCGCTTCCATCGGAGCTCAGCTAGATACTCCAAGACATGGGCCTTACTGTTTCCGAATTCACGGCCAAATCTATCACAAAATCGGACCAGCACGCCCGGAGGAAGGTCAGCCGCCGCGATATGGCCAGGTTTACATTCTTGACACTTCAATGGCGGCAGAGGAAAGGGCAGGCAATCCTGCAAACATACAATGCAATCGTGATCTGATCCGCTCTCTGAGTGTACTTCTGCACGGGATCAATCGTTTTGCACGGGCTTATAAGATGTTGAACGAAGTTGCTTTAGAAGAAGAAGCTCGAGCTGCCAGGGAAAGGCGATCAGCAATGCCAGTCAAAATGGTATTCAGGAGCTCTAATTTGGATCCACGCCGCTATAATGAGCCTACAGCTAATGAGGTGGCGGTGGTGTACGTTGGAGAGGAAGGCGATGTGCCAACTGAGCACAACCTTGCGGTGCATCTACGATCAGGAGGTCTACGGAACATCCGAGTTATCGATGCCGAATGTGATCCACTTTCATATCCTATTTTATTCCCTCGCGGAGAGCCTGGCTGGCACCCCAATATGCAAAAAACCCCTTCAAGAAGAAGTCGAACGAGAATTAGCCAGAAAGAGTACTACTCCCACATGGTGGCTGTTAGAGATGGATTCAATCCTCTACACTTCGCAGGGAAGCTGTTCCAACAGTTTTTGGTAGACTGTTACGTGCGAATAGAACAAAACCGCTTAAACTACGATCGCACTCATCAGACAGAATTGCGTGTGGATACTTACCGCGGACTCACCGACTACGTGGCAGGGGATATGGATATAGAGGGCCCACCTGGAGCAAGGAGGATTATCCTGCCATCGTCGTTCCCCGGCTCTCCACGAGCGATGATGCAAAGTTATCAAGATGCCATGGCAATTGTCTCAAAGTTCGGAAAACCAGATCTGTTTGTGACTTTCACCTCGAATCCCGCATGGAAGGAAATCACTGAGCAGCTGAGCGTGGGGCAAACAGCTTCCGATCGCCCCGATATTGTGGCTCGTGTTTTCCATATAAAACTACAGGAGCTTTTCACAGACCTCCTCAAGCGACATATTTTCGGTAAGGTGATTGCTTATATTAGCGTGATGGAGTGGCAAAAACGAGGTCTTCCTCACTGCCACATTCTTCTGACGATGGCCGGAGAAGATAAACTAAGAACTGCGGCTGAAGTGGACTCTGTCGTACAGGCGGTCATACCTGACCCGCTGACAGAATCTCGACTCCATCGGATTGTGACTACGTGCATGATGCACAGACCCTGTGGTATTGAGCGCCCAAATGCTCCATGTATGGTGGACGGAAAGTGCTCGAAGAAGTTCCCGAAGCAGTTCAGAAACACAACTAACGTGGAAGTGGATGGATACCCGGAATACCGGCGCCCTAATGACGGAAGAACAGTCGAATCCGGCGGATCAATTCTCGATAACAGATCTGTGGTGCCGTACAATCGGTATCTTGCACTCAAATACAACGCCCATCTTAACGTGGAGATTTGCGGAATGATCCATGCAGTCAAGTATATGTACAAGTATGTCTACAAGGGCCCAGATAGGGCCGCTCTGCACATGACGAGGACGGAAGACAACAGAGCCGGAAGAGCAGTTGATGAGATCGACGCCTTTGTGAATGCCAGATATGTGTGTGCGCCGGAGTCTGCGCACAGATTGTTTGGATTTGACCTTCAATCTAAATCCGACACTGTTTTCAGATTGGAGGTCATCTGCCTGGGCACGAAATTGTAATGTTCCAGAGGGGTCAAGAGGAAGAAGCTCTGCGTCAAGCCGCAGAACGAGATAGCACCCTCACGGCTTTTTTCAAGTTGAATGCGGAGCACGAGGCCATGTACGGAGCAGGAAACGCTCCGCAAGGAATGGTTGACGCTAGGACATTGTTTTATGTTCAGGTGCCGGAACATTTCACTTTCAACAAAGAGACAAGAAAGTGGAACCGAAGAGTTAGACAGCGCCGCGAGATAGGCAGAATGTACACTACAAACCCATTGGAATCAGAGCGCTACAGTCTGAGAATTCTTCTTCTTAACATAAAAGGAGCAAAATCATTTGAAGATCTCAGAACTGTAGACGGAGTTCTTCACAATACCTTCAAAGATGCAGCCAAAGCCCTAGGATTGATGCATGATGACTCCATTTACGAGAGTTGTTTGAGAGAAGCAGCGGAGTTTCGAATGCCACAAGAACTTCGCTC